CACCAAGCAGGGCGCTGTGCAGACTCACCACACCACCAGTGCGACCAGAAGCTGCACCTCACCACCTCCATGGATTCAGTGTATGTAAGATGAGCCCATAAGCAGAGTTCCTCCACAGAAGAGTGATCATGGACCAACAGGACCCACATTCCTAAATGGAGGCACTCCGCATGCGTATGTTAGTACATGCGTACAGCATCTTCTCATGTGTGTCAAAAGCAGGCTGGGGGTATCCAAAGGCATGGTGTATCCCTGCATCCATGCAATCCCCTTAACACATGCATTGAATTTAGGTGGAAAGACTCCACGCGAAGGGAAATGCATTGGGGAGGAGGGTTTTTACCCAATTCGCAACTGTGTGGGGTTCACATGCTTTAAACCGAGTCATGCGATTGGTCCATCTGGCCACACAGAGGCTCTTGAGTTCTCCCACAGCCCTGTGTGGAGATACCAAGGATTGCACATGGGACCTTCTGCATGCACAGCAGATGCTCTGCCGCTGAGCTTCAGCTCTGGACTGAGTTGCCAAAGCAAGTGTATCAGTTCCTTTCCAGACTGATTTTCATAAAGATATGAAAAGTCCCATGTGTTTAGCAGGCTTTTGCAGGAGTTGGGATGCTTCTGCTTTTAGTGCATATTCTATTTTATTCCTTGTGTGTGCTTTTTTACAGCTTTGTTGGCTTTTTAATGGTTTTCCATGGCTTTCCATTGCCTATGATTTTCATTACTGTATGTTAACTTGATCCTTTTTAGAGAGGTGGGATGTAAATGGATTTAATAACTGGGGAAGGGTTGGCATGATCTGTAGCAGATATATCACCTGGAAGAAAGCAGTCTGGCATAGGCCTGATATGGCTCTTTGAAGGCAGAGCAAACTATCTTTCCAGCTATACTGCAATACAGAAACAAGGAGGTGTTGATCTCCAATGTTAAAAACTTATCCAATTGGATATTTATCATGATATTTAAAAAGTTATCTTGAACTCTCAAGAAAAAAAGGATATAAAAAATAAACAAAGAAATACAAATGGTGCTTACTTTGAAAGCTTCCTTCTAAAGGGCTATTTCTCGTTTCTGTTAGGGTCACCTGCACAAATACATTTCAAGCATACGGCTTCCCCAAAGAATCATAGGAACTGTAGATTGTTAAGGGTGTTGAGAATTGCAGCTCTGTGAGGGGATAAACTACAGTTCCCAGGATTCTTTGGGGGAAGCCATGTGCTTGAAATGTATGCTATGGGTGTTGAGTGCGAAAGGCAAACATGTGAACTTGGCTCCACAGGTGATCCAAAGGCACTTCTACTTGCTCATGGCTGCCTCCCTGAACTCTGAAGATTTCCTTGTCCTTCTCTGGCCCTCCGTGCCCCACCCCAGACTTTCCCAGAGGGTCTCTCAAACCTCAAGAATTTTGGTGGGGCGTAGTATAGGACCTCTGCAGAGAGGGAGAGCCAGGAAATTCCTCCTGCACATGCATTGTTCTGCCCATGCATCTCTGAACCCAATCCACTGGTGCTAATCTGTGGTTTATAATAAGCACCGCAATGACCCATAACCTAGTTTCTCTCCACAAAGCCCCAGTGAAATGTGGGGAAAGATACACACAGTAGATTCATCTGCCCTCACTTCACACCCTAAACCCTTATCCCAATTAGCTTAAAAAAACAACAACCACTTTATGGTTTTTTGCATCACTTCTCTCCCAAGCAACTACCTTAAAATCTTCTAGGGCTACTAGCTTAGAGCTTTTCATGACCCTCTTTTGGTTTGGTTTGGTGTGTTTTTTTAAAAATAATAATAATAGTGGCAATAAAAGGACTTTAAAAATAAAAGCTATTTAAGTAGGTGAGCTTCAGTAGAGCAGCTCATCGGATGTTTCTCATTTGGCATGTTTACTGCCATATCCTGCAACTTGCGAGCGCTTGTTCCTGTGTGGCACACACATACACACGCACACACAAGCATTTGATGGTACACAAGAAGCACGTCTTGGGAAGGAAACAAACACATAGATTTTCATTAGCAAAGCCTCAAGGATATTCAGGATGTTCCAAGCATGTCAGCAGCACGTCTCACATGAATGGTATATAACATGCTGGAGGAGGGGGAGAAACGGATGCATTGTTCAGCATATTCACTGTGCGTGTGGTATGCATGTACTGCTTAACCTGCCAACACCCAGACTTTGGAAACAAGACCGGATGCAAGCTCAACGCAAGGGGGGAGAAATCATATTAATGGAACAAATTTACAAGGACTTGGGTCATTCTTCTGGTTTGGTTTTGCTGGATATGCATTTGTTAACTAATGGGGGACTGATCACCACCACCACCTCCTTATTCCAGGTTCTGCATTTACTAACAGAGACCAGGATCATTGCTTCCCATAAAGGCCTGCTTTATATAAATATGAAAATTCCACCCCTTTAGCTCCACGGATTGCAACCGGAGGTGAAAACAGGGCATATAATTCAGCATTCTACAAAATGAGATCAAGGCTGTGCTCTGGAACAATGAGATCCTTTGAAATCGGAAGTGTAGAAGATGAGGAAATGCGGGAGATAGCAAGGACGATACCTACGTTACACTGTTGGCGTGTGTGTGTGTGTGTGTGTGTGTGTGTGTGTGTGTCTGCACTTGCAAGTCTATAAGATGTCAAGGACAAAGAGATACATTCATTAAAAGACTTTAAAAGGCCGGGGGGGGTGTTTTGTTGCTCCCCACCAACAATGTGCTCAAATATATTTCATTTGAATAGCAGTCAGTTATTGCAGGGTGTTTCATTCAAGCTTGATTTACTCATGCAGTTGGTGGTGCAATGGCTGTTGCGTTTGTGCTGCTCTACAAACTGCCACCCATGTGACACACACACACATATATATATCTTGGCAGCACGATGCTAAAATAGCCAGAGTCACGCAAGGAGTTGCTTCACTGCGTAGCCTGGCTGTGATTGTGCAAGCCTTTCTAGCCAGTGCCAGGACTCTGAATAGATATGTGAACTGGGTCTCGTATTGATACAGGTACACAGAAAACTGTGTCAATAGGTAGTCAGACTATTGGTCTACCAAGCACTTAGTTTCTAGCTCAGCACTGTCTACACTGACTGGGAGTGACTCTCCAGGGTTTCAGGGCATTTCCCAGCCCTACCTGGAGATGCAAGGGATTGTCTTGCATCTGGGACTTTCTGAATGACAAGCAGATGCTCTACCACTGAGCTATAGACTTGCCCTAAGAAAGGGCCCTTCCCTTCCCTGTTAAATCTTGAGAAGCTGCATCACTAATTCCAGAATAATTAAGGAAAGAAATACAGGCAGAGAAGCTGATGAGTACCAAATAAATCTTGAAACCAAAAAAAGTCCCACGCCGAGGCCTAAAGCCACACTTCCAAGAGAAAAGTTAATGAATTCAAAGTTAATTTATGGCAAATCCGAAAGCAACCATTTATGGGAATCCCATCGGTGCCCTTGCACTTATGGAAGGGATTTAGATTTGGCAGAAGCATCCACTATTGGAAGAGTAATAGAAATGTGTGGGTAGGAAAGGAACTTGAGAGTCATCTAGTTCAACCCCCTGAAAGGCAAGAATTTCAACTAAGGCAGCCATGACAGGTGGTCATCCAACCTCTGCTTGAAAACCTCCGAGGAAGGAGAGTCCACCATCTCCCAAGGGAGACCATTCCACTGCCGGACAGCTCTTACCATCTGAAAGCTCTTCCTGATGTTTAGTCAGAATCTCCTTTCTTGTAACTTGAGTCCATCAGTTTGGGTCCTACCCTCAGCGCAGGACAAACCAAGCTTGCTCCATCTTCCATGTGACAGCCCTTTAGATATTTGAAGATGGCTACCATATCTCCTCTCAGTCTCCTCCATTAGTGAGCACTCTTTCGTTCTGCATCTCCTGAAAATCAGCCCCAGAGAGTTAGAAACCCTCCAACACAGTGTGACAGGTGGCATAGGGGTTATAAAGAGAAGGGGACTTGGTCAACAGCCTTTCCACAAATGGGGCAGCAGGATTGGATTTCACTCATTGTTTCCATAAGCATACTTCCCGTTTCCCAAGACATTTGGTAGGAATTGGGTGGGTTGCCATATCAAAACACTGAAACTACAAACACAGCTGATGTGTGATGAATCTTCCATGTCACCCAAAGGATTGAAGCTATTGCAAAATGAAGGATAGTCTTTGTGTTCTACGATTAAGGATGAAATCCTATAGAAGCAATTCTTCAAAATGTTCAGATCTGTCAAAGGCCACCTGTCATGCAACATCCTAGCCCCCAAGGTCATTGGGCTACCTCACTTATTGCATATCAATGACCTGCCCCCAGCTCAGATCACAGCATTACAATGTATGGCGGTGATCTAACAAATTCTTATCTTGAAGTTCTTGTAGCTCTTTCACTGCTTGTGCACATTTTTAAAATGTGGTTTTCTGAAGGAGGGAAAGAGGCATATTGTATGGATCCATCTAACGTCACAGAACCAACTGCAACACCACCTTGTTAAAAAGGGCAGCCTTGCTACCTCAATGGGGCAGAGAGTTAAAAGCCACCTCTTTCTCAGTCCCCCTCCTCCTCATATTCTCCTTCTCTGCAGTATATGTTATCCTCTAAAATACTCGGTGCCTTCAGCAGAATCAGTTATTTTCATTCCCTGTAAGTCCCTCCCCCTTTTTTGGGGTTGCGAAATTGCTGAAAGTAATTTAGTCTCTCTGCATATTAATGAGTTTGAGGAAAGGGCAGCGGGAGCTGTTTTAAAAGAGGAGGGAAGCGGCAGAGCGCAGACAGACAGCAGCTGAAACCGACAGGGCTGCAATAGCAGCAGCAGCAGCAACCAGGAGAGAGCAGATCATAGGCATTCATTCACATTGCAATCTATAGTGTGGCAACACCAAGTCTCAGTCTGACCAGTGCGTCTGATCAAAGAGGCAAAGGAAAGACAGCAGTTTATCCAAGTGAAATCTAAGAGAGCATACCTTTAGGCTCCTCCAGGTCTTCTTATCATGAAGCTCTTGACAGCAGTTTTCCTCTTACTGTTCATTGTAATCTGCTTTACCAGCGTGGAAGGTAAGTTACAGGTTATTCACTTACCATGCATTTCAGCACCTTTTCTCTCTCCCTCATTCCCTCCCTCCCTCTCTCTCTCTCTCTCTCTTGCACACACATTTCACTTTTACCGCTTGTTGAAATAGTTTTGAAATGTACTTAGAAGCAACTGACACCTGAACTAAAAAAAAAATCCCAGAGCAAATATATTTTAAGCTATAGATTTGTATAGCAAGAACACCAGAAAAGCAGAAACCCCAGCTTCTTCCCAAAGTTAGCTGAGCTGAAGTGCGTATCACAAGAAATATTCCCCTTGCATTTAATCTGGTGTGGACTCCTTTGGAATGGTGAATTCACACACAGTGGGGAAAGTAACTAGAACTTTGACCGCTACAGTTTCAGCCAAACTCTGCAGCCCATTAAGTACTGGTCCCATGCTCTTGGGAATGGTTTTAAATTGGCCACCCTTTAATCTGAAGGGCTGATTTTTGCCCAGCTCAGATGCTGCTTTGACAATTTGTATATCAAATAATTCCAAAAGAATTCAGAAGTCTTTATATTCCTTTTCCAATTTTTTTAAAAAGAAGCAATCATTAGCAAAAGTTATATTTAACCATCATCTGAATAGTGTGGCTTGACTCTTTATTTATCATAATGTGCATTTTTTTTTTACAAAGTTTGATCACAGCAGGTGCACTTTTAAAAGACAGGACCGCCACATGGCTTCAAATACAAAAGATTGCAGTCCTGTGCATACTTACTTGTGAATTAGTCCTAATCAACTTATTGGCTCTTACTTACATAAATTGGTTGGGTAGTCTACTAACTTCAGTGGAATTCACTTAACCATATACAATGGTTACAATCTTAAGATCTTGCTCAGTGAAAAACTTTTGTTTTTTGCAATATGTTGCTTAGGATTACAGCTAGCCTATAGAAAAAATACAGTAATGTCCTCTTTCATATTAAACTGTAGAAAAGATGACCTTTTTCTATACTGTATATGTTTAAATAGCTCGTGAATTAAAGAGAGTTTGGGAGCAGTGATAAGGACATGTATAATATGAAATGAATTTTATATACACAAATGGGTAAATACTTTTTCTTCTAGGATCAAAATGCAGATGTGCAAGAAAGGGCCCCAAGATAAGATTCAGTGATATACAAAAGCTGGAAGAGAAGCCAAAGTATCCATATTGCAAGGAAAGAATGATCATGTAAGTCACACCCTTTTTTAGGGTATAATCAAAATAAATATGTTTGTATCAATCAGATTGTTTTTCTGCATTTTTAATATTTTAAAGAGAGAGAAAATGCCTATGACAGTATGGTAACATGTTAAACCCAGCACAATTGGTAACTTATGAAAATGTTCCATCTGTCTCTGATATACTAAATCTGCTTAATTGTAAATTGCTAGAAAAGAAGGCAAGGCTCATGAGCGTAATATTAAAATGCCTATAAATGTAATGAGCAACATTAGGTGCCTTATCTATCTATCATCTATCTTTATTTCATTGAGCTTCCAAATATCTGCTATAGAAGGCTGCAATATTGCACAAGTGCTTGGCAGTATAATCCTATACATTACTCAGAAGTAAGCCCCACTGAGGTCAATGAGACTTACTTTCAGATAAGTGCATATAGGATTGCAACCTTCATCCCATTCTCTCCAGTGGGCTTAAAGCAATTGAGTTCAGGATTGCACCATAAGGTTGCCATAAATCCCATCACACTCCGTGGAATTGAACTTCCACATAAATATTGGCTTGTACATGTGGAACACCTCTTCGTTGCGTGGAGTAACCGGTGTCAATAAATCAAAGTGCTCAGCCTCAAATATAAACATTACCTCTCTATCTTCGGGGACCTGTTTCAACTTGCACAACTTTGAATGAGATCATTTCTGCTTAGGCATTTCTTGTGAGGCGTGCCAAATTAAAAGTCTGAAACTTTTTGTTTGTTTGTTTTCACACTGCCATGTCATTTGTCAGAACGGGGCCAGGCCAACATTATGAAATAAAACAATTAGAATTCCTCCTCAGGATGCTGCCTTTGGAACTAGTTACATAACAAGTGGTAACCAACTTGTTCCCTACTTAGAAAGAGAGAGAGAGAGAAGGCTGTGTTGCATCACAACTGGGTCTTGTTTGCGTCAGCTGCTGCTAGAAACACAACACAACCCTCCTTATGCACGACAGCCCTCTCAGCCATACCAAGGTTGCCAGAAAGAAGCTTGTTCCCTTCCAAATTGTAAATATAATGTGTGGGCATGGGGTGGGCATATGGAAAGGGGAAATGGTCATTTTCAGGACTCACAACATCTCTGTTGTTGTCTGGGACTGGTCCGCTCCACTGAAAGGTTCTGGGGACCTGCTGACTAGCTCATGAATGCAATGCCAAACAACTGGTGGCTAATTGTGGCTTGGGACACACCTAGAGGTTAAGAACTAGTCAACGTGACTGGGAACAAATCCTCACTTAATGACCTGTATCTACTCACTTTGTGGACAACAGATTAAGGCCTCCAGTGTATCCATCCAATTCTGATTTTTAGCTTTGCTCCAGCTGCCGCTGAATGGAATGCTCCTAGAAATGAGAAAGATTATATGGTTTTCAGTGGTTGGAACATGGTTGGTGTGAAAGAAAATGACCAGAAATAGCATTTTTGCACTCCTCGGCTTAAGGTCAATGGGTGAGTCCACAGTATAGACCACTTATTTCCACACTGGAAGCAGCTGGTGTCCATTGATTTCTGTTGCAGTCACAGAAATGCTCAGGTGTTCAAGAAAATGGAAAACACCTGTCAGATAGGCGGACAGTTGTTGTGTGAACCATGCGCTAAAAGCAAACCATACTATACTTGGATGAGCTGGTTTGAAATTGAAACCCTGGCAACTAATGTTTCGATTACAGTGGTTCTCATAAAGTATTGGGAGCAAAGCATATTAGCCAGTGACCAGTAGTTTAATGCAAAGCTCTGTAGGCAAAGCAAAGTCTTCTATTTTATAGTAACTTTCTAAAAGCCTCCAAACATGTCTATACATCATGATCTGCTTTTCTAGTGGGAAGCACAAATAGTTTTTCTTCAGATCAAACTGAGTCTACCAAGCAAATTGCCAAAACTCATCTGATTTTTTTCCACAGGGCAGAGTTATACATTTCATGGTGTTCTATGATTCTTTTTTTGGATGTTGGGTAGAGGGACTTTATAGAACTTTCCTTTTATTCCATTCTCCACTGACCCCTCTCCCTGCAGCTACTTTTACTCATGTTGGGTAAAGATACAGGCATCTTTTAAGCCTAAAAGAGGTGTGTGCTTGTAACTATGTTGCATTCCCTGATTACATTCGAAATATTTTGAATGGGGCAAAGCTTTCTTACAATTATGCTGATTAGCACATTCCCAGTAGAAACCTGTTTCTCCATCAAAGCACATTCGACTACACTTCCCTTAATAATCAAGGCTTCTTCTGCCTGATTCCAGATTAACCCCCCTCTCATTGCAGCCCTATAAGACACAGCCCACACTGTTCAGATGCAGAGGCTTTTCAGGGGGTACAGAGAAAGGGGGTGAAGTGTAGAGAAAGGTAGATTGTGTGAGGATCCTACGGCTTGCATGATTGGATGCAACTCATAATGCCCAAGACACTGATTTGACACCCATGTTGATATTTCTAAATAATAATAATTTCCACTTTCATAATCCCAAAATACATTATATGGAACAGACTTCTGAAATGCTGTGTCAGTGACTAGATACACATTTCTGGTAAATCTCTTTATAAGAAATAAATGAGTTAATCCTCATACTGACATTCCTGCATTGGAATGACCCGAACGACTATACGCATATAGTTTAGGAAGAAGGTCCCCCCCCCCTACCATATTCTGGTTATTTGGAAGTGCCTGGCTTGTGTTTTTGGCGTAGCTCTTCTCTTCAGATGTACTGTCCTCAGCACGCCTGGCTGCTAACAGAGATCAGCAGACTTCTTCCACTTTGCCCATTCATTTTAACAGGTCGGCTTTGCCTTGCATTTTGCCCAGCTTTATCGTTGATAATTCTGAAATTAATTTTAGGAATTGGCACATGCACAGTTTGTCATAATTTAAAGTCTGTAACTCCCCCTTTTTGTGTATTTGTACAATAACATAAAGATTCATTTTTTGCTGTTTTTTAAATAAATGCACATATGTGTGCTTCTGCAGATTGCTAACCAGTAAGGCGGGAGGGGAAGTGGGGAGACACAACCTGGAAAACGAGTCAAACCGTACGTGTGCAGAATTCTAAACAGAATCCAGAAATCAAAAACAGAAAGATGGGAGGTTGCTATTGTATCAGTACTGCTCTGCACATAATTTCAGATAATTCAGAATCCGGGGGAAACTCCAATGGGAAAATTTCCTATGCATGCCTAACTCACAAGAAAAAGTTTTATCTCCGTGAACTTCCTCTCCACTGCGATCTGGCGTCCGGCACTTTTCTCCATGACTCCCTGGCTCAGCCTAGCCTAGTTTAACAGGTTTGCCGTAATGCACTAAGATTCTGCAAGAGCTGAACTCAGGTGAATTCAGAGTTTCAGGATTCAACAGCAAACCCTTGTTTCTTTAAAATCCTACAAGGCACATTTTCTGCCAAATACACAATTAACAATATTAAAATCCAGGAAGCATCACAAAAGCACAATTATAACACAAAATGCCACCAGTACATCAATCATGCACTCAACATTCAGCCTGGATAAAAAGTATCATTGCTGCAGCAGCAGAGCTAGTAAAACAAGCAGTCAAGAAATGTCTTCTGAACAAACAAATATATTTGCATAAGGGGGAAAAGAAGTCAGTGAGACAACCAGGCGGTTTTACCTAGGAAGAATATTCCACAAGTACATAAAAAGCGAATATGTACATTTTTTGTTCACTACTATTTCCCCCTAGGATTTGGTACTCAGGGTATACTGCCTCTGGAAATAGCATTCCATACATCAAATGTTCTGTGCTCTACATAGTGTTGGACTATAATTTCCATCATCCCTGAACACTGACCTCCAGATGGTCATAGAAACAGAATTGTAGAGTTGGAAGGGACCGCAAGGGTTATCTGGTGCACCCCCTGTAATGCAGGAATATTTTGCTCAGTGTGGGTCTCACACAGACAACCCTGAGATTAAGAGTCTCTTCTCCTCTACTCGCTGAGCATGATGTTAGACTGCATGTTGCTGGACCGTGTTGCCTGGAGCTGATGGGAGTTCAGAATCACCCCTGTATATATAGAAACATAGGGTGGTGCCAATATATGCAGCTACATCACATTGCTACATCACATTCAAAGTGGCAGCATAGCAGTGGTTGCAATTTAGAAGTCCACGGCCAATGAGTGTTGGAGGCTGGACAGAAGAAAACTGAATTTCTGAGCTTCCTTTGTCTCATGCATAGTCCTAGGGGGGCAACAAACCCAAGAGCATGTGATGGAGACTCAGATGGTCCTCGGATGGTGAGAGAAAATTGCCTTCAGAAACTCCCAGGAAGAACTGGCTAGTTCAGGACAGTAATTCATTGGCATGGCTGGTATTGTAGCTTAGTGGGAAAAACTGGGCCAAAAAAAGGAGTGGTTGAGCCACCCAAGAGGAAGGTGGGGATGCAGAATTTTCTTCCTACCTTGTGTACTGGAATAGCAGGCCAGACCGTTCACTCCATCGCCAAGGAAGAAGGCCACCCCTCCCTTTTTGCTCTCTCTTTCCTCCGTCCAGAAATATGAGCCAGAGTTTCTATGTGAACACCAGGAAATGGGTGTTCTACCCTCCCTCCATGTGGACCGATGTGCCAGTGACCTCCTTTCCTGACAGGTCCTTACAAATTAGCAAACTCCCATAAGGTGCGGAGGTAGCAGTTTCCCAGTCAGCTCGCATACACAGTTATGTCTCCATTACATCAGTAACCCAGGGCTGACAAAGAGTTCAGAAACGTGCATCAGCATAACAAAAGCAGTGCGAGGCTTTCCTGCCCAAGCCTTGGCTGCCAAGGACTGGAGTCTGGGCCTCGGAGTTTGCCTGCCTGATGGGAAAACCAAACAGCAGTATGCTCTCACAAACAAGATGCCAGCAGTAGAAGGACGCTGAAAGGCCGTCAAGGAAAAAACAATAACAAGCTTCTCCAGGATGGGTATGGGAGAGACGTGTGCTCCAGACCTTTAGAAACTCAGCCAGATTTGGCAGCCAAATGAAAAGGCAGAAGCCGTGAGGTACAAACATAAATGAAATGCCCATTAGAGAAACTTTACACTCTCCCTGAAAAATCATCAAGAAAAATGCACATAGTTAAGCCCGCTTGGGAGTGGAGCTCTAGATATGAAACAAGGTCCGGAGCGCAAAACTCTCCCTTCTCATCTTTTTCAAAAACAGCTGATGTTGTTCAATATTTCAGATACATTTTCACAGCCCTAAAAGTTGGTTCCCTCTCAGTATATCTCCTCCTCCTTTCCCTCTCTCCCTTCTTTTCTTTTAAATGTTTGAAACTGCAATGCCGCTCGGAAGGAAATTGGTGTAGAAGAGACTGAACTAGGAATGTTTTTGTGTGTTTGGTTGCACTTTGTTGCAGCCTGGAGTGTGAGTTTTGACTAAATTTGCAAACTGCTGCAAGAGCCACCTCTTAAATGTTACATAAATTTAGTTGTTATTATCATTAGTATAAGAAAGAAAGAAAGAAAGAAAGAAAGAAAGAAAGAAAGAAAGAAAGAAAGAAAAAGAAATGTGTGGCAGCCTTTCCTAACAATCTCCTCCCACATTTCTGCATGTAGAATTATTGCAGTATTTCAGAAACAAACTTTTCATGAAGAAACCATCATGACATGATCATTTTCTTCATTTTGACTGGAATCCCATTCTTTTCAAAGAAACAACAACAGATTTGTTAACAACTGCTAGATTTTTCTGGAGTCGTTGTGGTAATAAAAAACAACAACCCAAAAGCGATTAAAATCCTTTGAAAAATGCATCAGACTTTACGTAGTCAGAACATTGTGTTCTGTCTGTCTTTGCTTGTTTGCATGGCTTTGCCATTAAGAAATTCCACATTCCATCTCAGGTAAGGAATTTTAAGGAGTACAGCTGGAAAATATATATCTAAATATATTTGAGATCCTGGAGCGGTAGATATAAAAGCTGTTGCTAATCAGGTCTGAAAATAGGAAACTGGGATAATTATTTAGCTGACTCAGTGTAAGACTGTGTTGGAAAGCTGAACCTTTTGCAGACATAGACAAGAAAGAAAAGCTGGAACGCTGGGGACACAATACCCTGAGGTCTGAACAGACTGGAAGGAAAGTCATTATACTGCGAAGTAACGGGAGAGCTAATGTCTGGCTGGTGCAAGACAAATTTATTGTTGGCCAGGCAAAGACTAAACATGACATGGAAAGCTTCACAGCTTTGCCAAACCCAATGAAATTAATGGGCTGCTTGTATGGATATAGGATGACCATGTGTCAGAGGGCAGTCCTCTGTTTTGAAGGTCTGTCTATCTGAAGTTCCTTTAAAAATAAGAAACCCCATAAAAAGGGGGAGCAGGAGCCTTGAAGTAGTCTATAAACCTTGACAATGACCATCTGGTCAGCAGACTGAGCAGGCGCACACACATCCGCTAGTGTCTTCCCTATTATGGTGAGCTATTTTGTCACCTGAGATAGCTCAGTTGGTAGAGCATGAGACTTAGAGTCATGGGTGCGAGTCCCACGTTGTGCAAAAAGATTCCTCCATTGAAGAGGTTGGACTAGATGATCCTTGTGGTCCCTTCCAACTGTACAATTCTTGGATTTTGAGATTCTTTAAATTATAGTGATTATTTGCCCCCATACATATAAATTACCATGCGCAAATTTTATGCAGCCTGGGGTCCTCTTTCATGGTGATGCATGTTCTCTTCTTAAGCCATGCATGCACAAGTGGCCACCCCAAGAGGGTGTGGCAACCCTGAGAATCTTCTGACAGCTGCGACACCAAAAAGGCTCACTAGATCCCCAGAGATCAACTTTGATTCACTTTGCTAGCCCTAGCAGCTGCTTCCAAGCAGCACATGGTTACCTCAATCCACTAAGAGTGAAAAATAATCCATTTAGCCACCTGGAGTTGTGCCATTGATGATCCATGCTTGATGGAGTCCCATTCTTGTACACTCCCCAGCCAACAAATAGTTGGTCTAGTCAGCTGCTTGCCATTCTGGCAGGAAGAAGACTGTATCCAGTCCTGCTTTTCTCCCCTCCAGCAGGTGAGGGGTGCTGTCAAAGCTTGATGACACTGACAATCTGTTTGCAATGCATGGGCTTCCAAATGGACTTCAAATGAGACAGCCCTATTCAGAGTTGGAATGTCCATAAACATTCCATGACATCACATCCATCCCAACCAACTGGGATTGGAGGCATTAGCGCAGCAAACAACAATATGGCATGTATGTAACACACTGCAGGATGGGGTGGGGGAGATGGGGGACCAGTGCTATATAACAATCTCTTAGGATTGAACTGCTAGCTATCATTCTGTTAAGAATCCATGTTTGTTAACATCATTACGGCTGCTCCATCTTCACAACTTGTCTTTCCTTTCAGAGTCACAATGAAATCCCGATTCCGAGGTGGCCACCAGTACTGCTTGCATCCCAAACTCCCGAGTACCAAAAGATTACTTAAGTGGTACACAATATGGAAAGAGAAAGAGAGGTGGGTATCACTCGTGTCCAGAGCGCAGGACAGCCTCCTGTCCCTATGAGCAAGAGGTATCTTGGGTTATTAAGTACATGTGTTTATTCTGGGAAAAGATGTCTCTGTCTAACTTGAACACTTGACCCATAAATCACAGTGACAAGTGTGACATCGCTGCTGGCTTTCATATCGGAAGTGTGGTATCAATGTAATTTAAAGGGAAAGTGTTGAGCTGTCAAGTTAAATCCCAGATTTCAAAAAACATCAAACATTTCACATGACAGTTCCATTTTTATTTCGCAATTTGGACACAAGGGCTTAAGCATAAATCCAAGTCAGCTTAAGTACCAAACAACTAGATCCAACAGCCAATGTAGCAGCAGAAATCAATTCACAAATTGGAACTACTTCTACTACTTCCTATTTCTTTTTTGCTTCATTTCCCCAAATCCTTGGCTCTTTTGATTTTATTGTGAATATCTTTATGGCAGGTGTCATTCTCTTGAATCATATTGTCACTGTGCAGCTGCTAAATGTGTAGTATGAATATGAGTAAACGCAGCAGCTGCAGCTATTTTTGAGCACAATTAGTTTTTGAGAAAGACAGTGTGGCATAGTGGTTAAAGAGTTTGAGAGTGGCTGGCATAACTTGACCATGGGCCAATTGGCACACACTGAACAAAACTACATCACAGGGTTGTTGTGAACATAAAGTGGGACACACTTCATGTACTCTACAGCATTCTGAGCTGTCTGGGTGACAGGAACCACGTCAAGACAAACAAGGCTGGCGTGAAGGCCTTGGCAGGTACTGACTCAAATCCTGGGACAGTAATTTAGCCTGTCTGTGAAATGAAGATGTTTACTCAGAAGTAAGTGCCATCGAGTCCAATAGAACTTGCTTCCTAGAGAGCCTTGTTTTTGTTTTTTTTGTCCCTTCCTCAGTCATGCTGATAGTTTTGCCTGATTGTCTGCCAGCGCTCTTGCGGTAGTACTTGGGAAGCCGGAGAGAAAATGGTTTGCACTGCTAAATGTCAACTATTATGTAACCTCATTTCCTCTTGTTTACTTTTTAAAGGCTACCACAGAGGAAATAAAATACTCAAGATCTTATGTTTAAATAATGCTAAGAATCTGCCTTTGGCTTGTAAAGAGCAAGGCACGTCAGATGTAAACCTGCCTAGACATCCAGATGCCACACAACTGAGGATGTCTGGTGAGAAGAGGGCTGCCTGAGGCCAAGGGCTTAATTCTTAATTTCTGGATTCCTCTGGGTTGTCAGACCGATCACGTTAATTCTTTCTCTGACAGGTCACTGTATTTTACACACACACGCACACACACACAAAAGAAGTTGCATAGTCTGGTCTGAAATGGCTAACAGTATAACCCCCACATCAACAAAACTGCTTGGCTGTTTTCACCCACCGTCTCATGTTTGCTGTCTCATTTAAGACTCATGTTTGCTGTCTCATTTAACTACTTAGGAATGCTGAAACAAGACATATAACTACACAACAAACCTGTACAGTGGTACCTTGGGTTACATATGCTTCAGGTTACATACACTTCAGGTTACAGACTCCGCTAACCCAGAAATAGTACCTCGGGTTAAGAACTTTGCTTCAGGATGAGAACAGAAATTGTGCTCCGGCAGCATGGCAGCAGCAGGAGGCCCCATTAGCTAAAGTGGTGCTTCAGGTTAAGAACAGTTTCAGGTTAAGAACGGACCTCCAGAACGAATTAAGTACTTAACCCGAGGTACCACTGTAAGTGTAAAGTGGAAACAATGGGTGATATTCAGCTACGCTTCGCTCAGAGTAAAAGGTAAAGGTAAAGGACCCCTGACAGTTAAGTCCAGTCACGAACGACTCGGGTTGTGGCACTCATCTCGCTTTACTGGCCGAGGGAGCCAACTTTGTCCACAGAAAGTTTTTCCAGGTCATGTGGCCAGCATGACTAAGCCGCTTCTGGTGAAAACCAGAGCAGCACACGGAAATGCCGTTTACCTTCCCGCTGGAGCGGTACCTATTTATCTACTTGCACTTTGATGTGCTTTCGAACTGCTAGGTTGCTCAGAGTAGATCCCCTGAAAGTAATGAGCATGATTAAGTTAAGTCTATTAATTCCAATGGGTAAAATTTAATTGACCAACGCTTGAGGCTGATGTGAGTTGGAGTCCAATCTCATTCACAAGAACACAGGCTCACTATTCCTGCTCTAAAACCTGCCCCCTTTCCCTTGAAGTACATTCACTGGTGGGCTGAAAAAAAGCACTTTGTTTATGATCAGGTGAATTCTTTTCATATTACTTTGCAGCTTCCAGTACTGGGCTATAGCATTGAAGTTGTGCTAAGTCCTGCTTGCATACAGCGATGCTAATATGGTGAATACAGTAGATAAAGATCAGACAACAGGCCCCAGTTAAATGCTAGTTAAACACTGTACTCTGAAAAGGGTTCTTAATTATTGCTTTCACCGACTCTCCCAAAGTTTTTGAATGAAAATGTTTTAAAGGCTGCTATCCTATGCCACATGGCCAATGCACTGCTTGGGTGACTCCCACATATATGACCTCTCCCCACCCCATGATTCTTTGTTTTGGGCGGAGCTCAGTGTGATGGTACACTAGTTAGATCTCTAATACTATGTAGGTCTCGGGTTTAAGATCTGCGGCAAGCAATTTATGATGGTTAAGATGGCCCATCCCCCATAAGGAGTTCAGCTATTTTTCTTCAGACAAAAAGCAACTGAAACTGTGGTTCGTAACATGCTCAACTAGAGACCCATTTCAATAGCTGTATTTATTATGCATTATGCCACATGAGAGCCTCTGGCTCTGTTTCACTCATGCAACTGCCTGCCGTTCATTTATCATTATGCAGATAGCAGCCCTTTAAGATTAGCCTTCAGATTTTGGGAAAGCCCAGTTATGCTCACAGGAATATAACATGTCACCCTCTGTATTTGCCTTATTATACCAGCACATTCCAGATCGATGCTGTAATTTCTGGTGTTACGTTGGCACAGTGGCTACAATGCACTGCTGCAGCAAATCTTTGAATCTTAAGTAACTAAAGCAACATTAGCGTTCCGCAAAAATCTTTGTTGCACGACTAACCCTGAGCTCACCCAAGAGGCTCATGGCGAAAGAACAAAGTAAACTTCTCTTTCCGAGGTTAAAAAGCCAGAACATTGATCATGGGAGCACCTTTGCTTCTCCCTATAGCTTGGATGAATGGAGGCTTATGTAAATAGCGATTTCCTTCAGCATCAGGGTTCATTGAACTTCAGCGCACCTGCCCTGGGGTGAAACAGCAGAAGCAGATGAACTATTAAGAACAAAGAGCCTGATTGCATGCGAACCTCCCTTGTAATACAAGCTTAAGGGACAGACAAAACACTGAACATGCGAGCCACGGAATCCAATCCCACTGCCATAGAGGTCAGTGGGGATTTTGCCAGGAGAAGCTGGACACAGCTCACAGATTAATTTTTTAATTAGGTATTAGAGGCTTTAAAAAGATAAATGCAATGAAAGCCTGCACTTCTCCTTCCCAGAAATAAGGCCAATCCCAAGTATGGCGTGCTGCTTCATAGCTTGTTTGTATAACTGCTGCAACTGGATTGCCTCCTCACAACAATTTTAAAAAGTATAAGTTTTATGTTGTTCATTTTTGAGATTGCAACCCTATATGCACTTACCTAGAAGTAAGCTCTCTTGAACAGAGTGGGACTTACACAGGATTCCTCTGGCAAATATTCACATTGTAGTTTCAAAAATCATTCCACAAACTTTTCAGCAAAAAAAGTGGCTGAATGTACACTCTGACATCTTTCCAATTTGCTGTTATGGGATGGCAAAAAAGATGAAAATCCACATTTGTTGAATGTTCTGTCTTGCCTGCACCAGTTTAAATTCAGAAGCTCTGCCTGACTGAAGGCAAAACTGCAGTTGGGATTTCAGATCCTTAGCTTTATGTGGTGTTGAGTGGTGCATCAAAGTGTCTGAGAGATTGCAATGAGAGTCAGGAAGTTCATGGTTTGCATTTTGCTCCTGCCATGAACTCACTAGGGAGCCTTAAGTAAGTCACCATCGCTCACTCCACTGCCAATTTGGGGACAATAATTCTTGCACAGTTGTAAAATTGATTGATATATTGGAATGGAAGCTCTATGACTCTCTAACATGCTAAAGAAACACAGGAAGCTGCCTTATAACAAGGAGGACCATTGGTCCATGCATTGGTCCATGCAGATTAACATTGTCTACTCTCACCTGGCAGCAGCTGTCCAGGATTTCAGAATGCAAGGGAAGCATCAAAACAATGCAGGAAGCAATACATTTATTTGTTATTTGTGTACTTAAGAAAGATAGGGGATACCACTTATATGCACAGTTTCTATTTCTGACCTTGGGCAAACAGGCCAATTGTGGCAAACTCTGCTTCTACAGTGGAACCTCGGTTTCTATTCCAGAAGACGGTTTGACTTCCGAAACGTTAAAAAGCCAAAGCATGCATTTCTGGAAGCATTTAAGTCCAGAAAACTCAATACAGAAGCTGTGTGGACGTTTGGCTTCCGAAAAGCATTCGAAAACCGAAGCAGTTACTTCCAGGTTTTCAGTGTTTGAAAGCCGAAATGTTTTATTTCCGAGACGCTCGAAAACCAAGGTACCACTGTATTTCTATTTCCAATGGAATTATCCAACATCCCTAGGTGAGTCACATCCTTTGCGCCACCCACTTTTGCCTCCGATCCTGCCTCCCAGCCACTATTGGCATGTGGTCCCCAAAAGGCTGTCCTCAATGCAAAGTGGCCGTTGGACTACTAAACTTTTTTCCCCTGCCCCAATTTACAGGGATGAAGATGTGTCCCCCTAATGATTTCTCTGAAATGAATCAGACAGGGAGGAGTCCAACACTCCTTACTCAATTCTCCCTAGTTATATAACAACAAACTACAAAGTCGTCCTAGGTATAAAAAATAAACTCTGGTGTATACTACGTATTATCAACTGCCTTTTTACAACACTTCTGTGTCTAGCACACTATCCAACAACCCAGCTAAGATCTGCAGAATAACAGGCTCACAGTTTCCTTATTTGTTGGCATTCACAGCCTCTCCTGTCACATAACCTCTCTTAGGGCACTGGTGGAGCTTGAAAGTTACAGCAATTTGATATAAACAAGGCAGGCCCCTGTGCCCAGTCAACTGCTGCTGTTGTACTTGTACACTTCTTCCATGGTAATTGACTCTTAAACTCCTGTTTAAGATTCACAGGGAAGTGCCCTGAAGATATGTGATAAGGTAACTTACAAAGCAGCTGGTGTGTATTCAACTCTCCACCCACTGAATCTAACCATTTCGTATTTGAGTAGCAGAGCAGCTAGAATGAAGCAGGAAGAGCCCGGGAAAAGCTTGACGGCATGGTTGAAAGGCTCACTCTTGCCTTGGAGATTTAAGGCAGCATCTTATCACTTTAAACAGTCATGGCTTTCCCCCAAAGTATCCTGGGGAGTGTAATTAATACATTAATTAATTACACTGAGAGTTAATTAATTGCACTGAGAATGGTTAGGAGACCCCTTAGTCCTTTCATAGAGTCCTTTCATAGAGTTACAATCAAGCTCTCTTCCCAGGGAACCCTGGGAATTGTTGTCCTGGGAGGGAAATGTGGGTAAAACCTCAGCGCCTAGGACTTGCTGATCGCATGGTCGGCGGTTCGAATCCCCGCGGCGGGGTGCGCTCCCGTTGTTCGGTCCCAGTGCCTGCCAACCTAGCAGTTCGAAAGCACCCCCGGGTGCAAGTAGATAAATAGGGACCGCTTACTAGCGGGAAGGTAAACGGCGTTTCCGTGTGCTGCGCTGGTGCTGGCTCGCCAGAGCAGCTTCGTCACGCTGGCCACGTGACCCGGAAGTGTCTGCGGACAGCGCTGGCTCCTGGCCTCTAGAGTGAGATAAGCGCACAACCCTAGAGTCTGTCAAGACTGGCCCGTACGGGCAGGGATACCTTTACCTTTAAGGACACTCAGCATCAAGGCTGCCTTAAGCATATGTGGTGGCAGGGTGCAAAGATCCACCTGGTGCCCCCCCCCCGGTTGCCCAGTTCCAGGCATGCAGGAGGGTGGAGCCAGCCAGCTGCCTCAGTGTCTCGCTGGCTCGGTCGTCCCCAAACTCGCGACGCAGAGCCACCAGAAGAGCCCACCGCAGCGCTCTGACCGACGGGCGGGCTCTTCCCCAGACTCAACTCTCGGGCCCCAGACTCTTGGTCTGGTGCCCCTGAAAGCCTGACACCCAGGTGCCCCAGACCCCTAGCGCCTATGGGTAAGACGGCCCTGCTAAGCATCCTTAACAAACTACACTTCCCACAATTCTTGGGGAAAACGTGATTGTTTAAAGTGATATGATGCTCGGGGCCAGCCCAAGACATTTTGGCACCTGAGGCAGCTGCCTTAGGGGTTTCCTTTAAGACATGGCTGGATAGATGGGCATTTTAAATAGGCACCTACCTGCCAATTCACTGGGTGAGCCTTTCACTTGCCTTGAGGATGTTGACAGGTATTTTAAGACTATGGAGGGCATGACATAAAGGCAACCAGCCTTTTGTAGCAGTTATTGGCTTTGGGATGCTGGCAGGTATTGTGCTTTGGCATTTAGTTTCCTGGGTGGCTCCGAGGTTGCTTGTTTTGTTGTTTAAATCCAGCCAGCTGAAAAGCAAGTTCTGTTTCTGTTATTTTGTTTTTTTGTTTCAGCAGAGTTTATGAAGAGTAAGCAGGCAGAAAGCTAGCAGAAGAAATGGGATTCTGTGGCAGACATGAGGAAAAGATGGACAATGGAGGGAGATGACTTCTCACAAGACAAGACACAAAATCTATATTGTTATAAAGCACTTTTTACCAAGGATCACTTTTTACATTTTATAGCTGTAAAAAAAAAAAAAATAAAGCTGCCAGATTTCATAAGGGTCTTTTACACACTAGATTTCATACAAGCCCTCTTTGTAGAGAGAAATCTCATGAGACGTAATCTTCATTTACAAATTGGTATCATTTGTTTTTGTTTTTTAAAACCTTCATTCAATAGCTGTTCATACATCACCGTTACTGGAAACTGGGCTTTATAAGCTCATTCAGCGAATCATTAATTTGTTTTGTTGTTGTTGTTGTTTTTAAAAAAGGTGTTCCAAAATAATGTCTCTTCTTTGGCATTTGGGAAACGTTCTATGCCATTGTAAAGAGTTCTAGTTGTAGAAGATTTCCATTTCTGTAGAACAAAGGAAAAGCTGAGGTAAAATTTTCTATGTAGGATGCCTGATACATTCTGCAGTACAATTTCAGAAATAAGGTTTTTCAGTGATTTTGAACTGGATATAAGCTGTTCACCTGTTAATCCTTGCAGAGGGTGTAATATGTAATATGCTACCCTTTTCTTTTTGTTATTTTGTATGGGAAAAATATTTCTAAAGCAGTTTAATACGAAGAAAGCACATTTTCCCCCACCTGCGGTTCTTATTATTAAAAGGCTTGAGATATTTTAAGCTTCAGGTATATTGTGTATGGTTCCATCGATTTGTAGTCTGAAACTCTTTTTAAAATGTACCTTTTATGAGAGGTGGTGAATCTCTGATAGGGGAATGGATATATATGTTTTAGTCACAAAGCAACATCTTTATTTTGAATGTAATACTTTCAATGGTAAGCAGTGCATTCCTCTTTCTAAAAAAAATATAAATAACAAAACTACCTTTTCAATTGTAAATATACTGCAGGAGATTTTCCTCTATTATCTTGCCGTATAATGTATTGTACTGCTAAATTATCATATGCTATTTAAATGTTTGAAATATTTAGGAAGTTGCATGCAGATTTCATATTTCTTTCTATGACAAATGGAAACATAAAGAATAAAAAAAAAAACATTTTAAATGGTTGATGGCCATGGTTTTTATTTTTTGCTTGATTAGAAGTGTGGAATCCTGCTGCAGGTTAACAATCTCTGCATTGGTCTTTTAACACTTAACTTCTTCGTCAACCCCAACTCACCCTTCAAAGAAGACAGTGTAACAATTCTTGCAATCTCCACTCCAAGCCATGCTGAGCTGAGCAGTTATGCTACTGCCATCACCCCACTGCCCTTTTTTACCCTTTACGGACACGGGTAAAATTCCTTTTGGTTTCCATTTTAATGACAACCCCACCTAATGCACACTCCCTGAGCCAATATATTGGGAACCAAAATGCCACTCTCCTTCAAAATTTCCACTTCTCTGATTAAAATAAGAACCAGTTTTTAGAAATGGGTTAATTAGTGGCAGGGCAATCCAAGGCATTTGGCACCTGAGATGACCCACAAATGGCACTCTCCCAGAGAATAAGGAGTGACAATCTACATCAGGAACAAGGGTGGAAGGCGACAAGTAGCACCTCCTATTCGCCAAGAGGTCACTGTAGAGATGTCATTAGGGGGGTTGCTGAGATGTCAGATCCAGCTGTTGCTGCCACTACCTCGACAACAGCAGACGATGCATTCCCTGGGGACCAGAGCTGCTGCCCCTGTGGACTCCGCTGCCTGAGGCGGTTGCCTCACCTCGCCTCTTGGGTGGGCCGGCCCTGTAAGTCTTCACAAAAGTGTGCACATTCGCAAAAACAATATGCAAAAACACAATATGCTGCGGGAAGCGGCTGGCAAAATTGTGTACAAAATTGTGTGTATTAGGTGAATTGCACTTGAAAAGCCAAACACATTTTTGCATTGTATCTGAAGAAGTGTGCATGCACATGAAAGTTTATACCAAGAACAAATGTAGTTGGCCTCTAAGGTGCTACGGGACAATTTCTTTAATTTTTTTATATTTTGACATTTTTACATACATTTAAATGATGATGATGATGTCACGGGCTGCAGAAGTGGCACAGACTGAATTTAAGATTGGAAAAATGAGAAACTTAAATTGACAAGATTCTTCCTTTCCTCTTTACCTGTTATTAAGCAAGGGCCTATGCCTCTTAGTGGGTTTGACCATCCGTCACTCTGAGCCTATGCATAGTGAGAGATGTCAAGGGGTAATGAGATTCAAGGGGTAAAGATGCATAAAAAAAGAATGAGTTCAAGTTATACAGGTGCATACCTTTAGTAAAAGTAGGGAAGGCATCCAGCTTTGTCCTAACCAAACCCTCGCCAGCCTTACGCTCTCCACCACTTTTGACCATTGGCTATGCTGGCGGGCTGCCTAATGCAACCCATCTTACCTAAATCCAGGTTTATGAACTTTCTGCTCAGCTTTTTCCAGGTTCAGAAAGCTAGGAGGGCAGGGATGTCTCACCTTGACAACTGATCCAAAACATTCTGCGGCTGATGAGACTGGAGTTGTTTCATATTGCTGTTTGAACCTAGTCAATTCCCCTCCCTCAGTTCTTCCCGCTGTCAGTTCTCTTAATTGTCCTTATTCCTTCTCTCTCTCTTTCTGCCTTTAATTTTAGCATTACATATCATCTGGGCTGCATCCATTCTGCAATTATATTGTATCAGTTTCTGTTTTAATAAATGTGCCAGAGTAACTCATGCAGCTGTGCTAAAAGCACACTACAGGACCGGGGGGAGAAAGAACATTTCCTTGCCTTTGGTCAACTTTAAGTATTACATGGAATTAGTAATGGGATACAGAACCTGTCACCACTTACATGTCACTTGTTCTTATATGGTCTAGGGCAGGAGTGGCCAACATTTTATTAATAAATGTCTCGTGATCTACATGAAGGCTCTGTGTTTTGCTCTTGCGAACCAGGTGTCCACCATGCCTCAACATACTGGAAGCCACTGGGACCCAGTGGTGAGGTGTATGTAGCACTAGGAATTCATTAAGCAGCATTGTACGAACAATCTTCATTGAACTTATTAACTTTCCATGGTCCATTGGTGTTAAACCGATGGGCTGTACCAAAATACCAGATAGGAATCTACAGAAGAATTTTTCCCCCTACTTAAATTAATCCATGAAACAAAATTGGCATCAGCTAGTCAATTTCCTAGCAATCTCAGAACTGAATGTATTTTTGTTCCAACAGATGTTCCCAGCTGGATGAATGGATCTTTACCATGAGTGTCTACTTCTTTAGGGTTTCAGTGTTATTTTAAAACCTATAATCATAGAATTGGAAAGGACCACAAGGGTAATCTACTCCCAAACACTGCAATATAGGAATCTTTTTGTCCAACATGGATCTCAAACTCACAACCCTGAGATTAAGAGCCTCATGCTCTTCCACGTGAACTATCTCACTCCATCCACTGATGTTTGGGTGCTTTAACTGTTTTTAATCATTTTACGTGAAAATTGCCATCAGACACTTGTATAGAATGGGATTAATAAATCAATTATAATGATAAAAATGAAAATGAAGAAGAATCAGTGTATAAAAAGAACAATGGCTATCTTCCTACTACAGCTAGCAATTTGAGTTCACAATCAGGCATCTATGGGAAGTGGGGTACAAAAAGATTCCAAACTGCTCAGGGCCATATCAATCCATATTATTTAGAAGTCAGATAAGAGGAAATTTGAACAATCTTTAACTAGGTAATTTTAAATGAGTGAAAAGGGTGGGACCCTTTAAAAGAGGGAAACTGCTAGAAACAGCCCTAAAAAAAGGTAAAAGCAAGTCCCCTCCCCCCACTCCGCCAGAAGTCACCCCCAGCTGAAAATGTAGCTCCAGACTAGTTTTAGCATGTTTTAAAACTCTGGTTACTTTAAGAGGCAGTGTAGTATGGATATGTCAACTGACTTCATTTCTTTTTTACTCAGAATTCCAAAAATAAAAATCCAATATAAATATTATTACATAATCAAACAATCCAGACATAACAAAGCCCACAATAGTAACTGTAATTACTACTACCTGAGGAAAGAAGAATCTCTATGCAGAGCTGAAAACCACAGTCATTTAAGTCAAGACATACTTGAGTAACAGTGTAATCCTTCATCGACACTGAAATAAATACTATTAAATTCACTGGGGCTTGCTCTCAGGTAAGCAAGGTTAGGATTGCAGCCTAAATTATCTAGATAGTTTGATGTTTTACTGTCCTTTAATTTGTTGGAAGTCACTCAGAGTGGCTGGAGTAACCCAGTTAGATGGGTAGCATATGAATAATAAAGTCTTGTTGTTGTTGCTGCTGCTGCTGCTGCTGCTGCCTATAAAGCAGAGCTGCAGGTACTGTATACAGTGATTCAGGTCCTACCTGCAAGGATACTACCAGAAAGTAGTACTAGAAGTTCACTGTTTACCTCCATTACTTGTGCTGTGGGATCCCATGAGGGTCCATTCTGCCTCCTATGCTATTTTAACACCTGAACAAAACCATCCAGAGCTGTCATTCAGGAAATTGAAGCACAGTGTCAACAGTATGCTAATGACACGCAGCTCTGTCTTTCCATTCCATCAGAATCAGGAGATGCCATGAAGGTGCTGAGCAGGTGTTTGAAGGCACTGGTAGACTGGATTGTGGGGGAGGCTAATAAACTGAGGCTGAATCCTGATAATACAGAAGCACTGTGGGGAAAGGGTGGCTCCCATGCCCAGGTATTAGTTATATGTCCTGTTCTGGGAGGGTTTGCACTTCTCCTGAAGGATCAGATTCATAATTTGAGAGTACTCCAAGATTTGGACAATTCAAGTGCAGAAACTCTCCCAGGTCACTTGCTTGAAGTTTACCTTTCTCTTCTGTTTTCAAAGCCATTTTTAGTGGAGTATATGTTCTCTCTCTTTTGCAAC